ATTGTGTTGGTGAGTTACAGTGATGACTGTCCACTAGTCATATCCCATTTCATCAGTGATGGAGACAGTGCTGCTGCATCTGGTGCATCTGTAAAAACAAGGACATCAATGAAAAGTAGCTTAGAGACTTGCATTATTTCTTTGATTCTCAAAGAAAAGAGACTGCTATTGGCTCCTGATTCAGCAATAGCAATTGCTTCAGAGTAGAACCAACATCATTAGATACTGTATAAGTAGAAATCTTAGGGAGGATTTATTTTGTCATAATTAGCGAGGCTGTTGAGATTGCTAAAATTGAATATTGCTAAAAACAAATTGTGTGTTACTTTTACTATCTTCTTTAGTGAGCATTTTAAAATTGCTAAAATTACTATTCACAAAAAAAAAACAGTTTTAAGGAGAAATCGCTAAAGAGCCAAAGCGCATTTGATAGTCTTTTTTGCCTATTTTTAAGATTTTCTAAAGATCTTTTTAAGAATAAGAGTATTGAACTAGTAAAATGATTGTCATGTAACAAACTTACAACTATGAAAATATAAAATTAACTTGTCTACAAATAATTACTACATGTAGTTTGATCATGAATTGAAAAGGTACATGTACAATGTATCTATAAATAGAAATAGGTGATTTCCTTTTAAATACTCGAGTTGGCCGAATCGTCGGTAAGGCAGCTATGGCTCTTTGTGTCTTGCTAAAATTTCCACTTAAATGGTAATTAATCCATGCAGAGAACATTTGAGAACAGTATTTACCACTACTCTGGACCGAGACTAATTACTGTAGATCACTAAATTTTCGCGACACCTTATTTTCGCGAGATAATCATAGACTCTTGATAAGCGAGACAAATTTTTCGCGTATTGTGGCTATATTGCTCTATATATAAGGAGAATTGCTAAAACACTACTCTTGAGACTTACGCCTTTGATAAAAAGTGATTTACAGTACCTTTGATGAAGCGTGCTATGTCTACTGCTGTGGGCTTTATCATATAAGCTGCAGCTACCAAGGACAATGTGGAACATGTCAGCTTTATTCCTTTATCTGTTATGGACTCACTGGACTGAAAGCAATAAGTGAAAATCTTTGGTATTTTCAAGTGACTTGGAATTAAACATTACGGAAGAAGGCAAATGTTTGTTAAAAGACTTAAATAAATTTGATTTAGGACCATGATGTAATCTTGATAGAGTTAATGATCTTATTTACTTGATCATAAAAATCTGAATCAGTCTGTGAATATTTAAATATTAAAAATCAAATCCAAAATGTATAACAATGGTATTGAAAATTTTTAAGTAGAATACATAAAGTTGTGCACTCACTGTTAAATTAGGGGTCCTGGAACCTCAACATTGGAACTTTGTAAACTGTAGGGGCACCTGTTGTAAAAGGATCAAAGGAGAATGGTCCATCATCTAAAACAACAACAAAATAGACATTAAATAATCTTTGATTGAAAATGTACATAATATAAATCTCATAGAAAATAATAAAGATCTAAAAAGTTATAGATCTAAAAGATATCAGCTGTACAATTAAAAAACAAAGGGCCCATGGGCCACATCACTCACCTGAGAAGCTTTGACCATTCCGTTTTTTACCAGATTTCAACCTTGTAATACATACTGTGACCCCACCCTACCCCACTGATCATAATTTAGACAATTTGAAATCTACACTACCACAGAATTCTTTCATAAAACTTGTAAAACTTCCCCATTGTGACCCCCCTACCCCCAGAGGTCATGATTTTAACAATTTAGAATCTACACTACTCCAGGATGCTTCCTCGTAAGTTTCAGCTTTTCTGGCCAAGTGGTTCTTGAGAAGAAGATTGTAGAAGATTTTTCCTATATTTCTATGTAAAACTTTGATTCCGCATTGTGGCCCCGCCCTATCCCAGGGGGTCATGATTAGAACAATTAAGAATGTACACTACCCCAGGATGCTTCCACAAAAGTTTCAGCTTTTCTTGCACAGTAGTTCTTGAGAAGATTTTGAAAAATTTTTTCCATATATTTCTATGCAAAACTTTGATTCCCCATTGTGACACCGCCCTACCCCCTGGGGTCATAATTTGTACAATTTAGAATCTACACTATCCCAGGATGCTTCCTCATAAGTTTCAGCTTTTCTGGCCAAGTGGTTCTTGAGAAGAAGATCATCCCAAACGGAAAAGATTTTTAACAAACTACTACCGGTATTAAACCATCAACAAACTACCAACAAACTATATTAAATTATTTTAGTGGTTTGTTAAAGTAGTTTGATAAATAGCATTTGCAATGAAACACAACTAACCACTGTTTCAAGTGGTTTGAAAAGTGAACACTGCTGAGTGATTTCTTTATAGTTTGTTAGACTTGGTATCTTGCAACAGTGTTTTATTAGTATAGCATTTGCATCTAACCACATGGGAAATTTTTTACAGCGGTGTGGGGGTTCAATTATTAGAATTTTGAAGTTTCCAAGAGCTTAATCTTTACATCCGGTGTTAGCTTTTTGCGAAATTTTCAAACCCTCCAAGCATTTGAATACACATTAAGGAACTAGTGAAGGGACATTCAAATTGTTAGTATTTCGAAATCAATAATTTGAATGAACTGGAAAAAGCAGCAACACATTAATAAAAGATGAACAGATACAGAAAGGTATTTAATGCGAAATATATCATGAAGTTAAATTTCTTTTTACACACAAAATAATTAAGGTTGTTGAAAAAGCTTCTGTGTATGTGGATGTGTACTTTTTACTAGCTTTGGGTTTTTATTCACTTTCAGATTGACCTATAATTCCTAACTAGTAAAGAATGCATTTGGATTATGGGAAATATCTTGAAAATAAGACACAAAAAAAGATTTTTCAAAGTTAATGCAATAAGGCCAGAAAAAGGAAAATTGCAGCATTTTCATGCTACAGATGAAGCAGGGAATATTTAAATGTCAGCTTGAAAACATTTTTTTGGTCTATTACATGCACCCCAGATATCCGGATGCTTAACAAACGATTTTTATCGGTTGAAATTTTTAAATGTTATTTTGTCTTGTTTAACTGGTGATTAATATGTGTATTTATCCGGACAAATTACAGGGAACCAAAACTTGTAAATATTTTGTAAAACTATGGAAATGTGCACAACATGAAAAGAATATATGTGCAATTATAAATAAATGGACATGACTTAGAAATTGAAAATCATCATTTGAAATTTAACAAAAGGCACATGTTGGAATGTTGCACTTGCATTGGCTAAATTTGTGAATCCTTTAATTAAAATACTTTGAAACAAACTTATGTTGAATGCACTTCTCAAATTCATAAAACATGTTTTAGGTGTTTTCAAAGACTTGTGGATTTGTAAAGGAAAATTCAAATCTAGCCAGATGTGTTTTGCTGATGGATTTGTTACCAGTGTTTTGAATAGTTTGTTAAAAAATTGATATATTTGTTAGTGTGGTTTGATAGGTTGTTAGAATGGTTTGATAGTAGTTTGTTAGATTGATCGTAGTTTGTTAAGCCTTTGACAACAGTTTTTCAAAATGTTAGCTCATTTACATGTGATTTGCTATACTATTAAACTACTTTCAAACCATAGTGGTTTCTTAGTAATTAGTTATAGTACATATGTAGTTTGTTTGCCCTTTTTTTCCGTATGGGCATGTAAAAGATTTTTCCCATATATTTCTATGTAAAACTTGGATTCTCCATTGTTTCCCGGCCCAGCCCCCGGGGGTCAGGATTTGAACAATTTAAAATCTACACTAATATTAAGATACTTCCACATAAGTTTCAGCTTTTCTGGCCCAGTGGTTCTTGAGAAGATTTTCAAAGATTTTTCCTATATATTTCTATGTAAAACTTTGATTCCCCATTGTGGCCCTGCCCTATCCCCGTGGGTCATGATTTGAACAATTAAGAATTTACACTACCCCAGGATGCTTCCACATAAGTTTCAGCTTTTCTGGCTCAGTGGTTCTTGAGAAGAAGTTTTTTTAATGACCCTACCCTATTTTTTTCTTTTCTTGATTATCTCCCCTTGTGATCAAACTTGGCCCTTCATTTCAATAATTTAAATTTCCCTTCACCCAAGGATTCTTTGTACCAATTTTAATCGATATTGGCCCAGTGGTTCTTGAGAAAAAGTCGAAAATGTGAAAAGTTTACAGACAGACGGACGAGGGACAAAATGTGATCAGAAAAGCTCACTTGAGCCTTCAGCTCAGGTGAGCTAAAAATCTTAAAACAATTACAGTAAATTACTAACAGATTCATAATTAACATGATGTGTTTGTGAGACATTATGGATGGTAACACGATTCGTGAGTGGGATGGAGACTGAAGTGGTATACACTTGTTAGATGTTTTAAGGGTAGCAAGGTCACATGATAAAAAAAATTCTGTACCAAAGGAAAGGTCTTGTCATAATGTACACTCATGTCAAATATTAAAGCCTTACAGTTCAAAACAGACACTGACAAACAGACAGACATTACTAAAACAATATACCCCAGGGATCTTTTGATGTGCGGGGGCATAAAAAGGAATTTGGAAGAAATGTGAAAAAGGGCAGGCATTCACTCAACTTCAGATGCTGAGTATTTAATTTAAATGTATGAAAAATGAAATCATGCATATTATTTTTTAATTATCTAGATAGCTTTCTTAAATAATGTTGCTATGTTTTATTATGAATGGACTAATTCTATTCAACTGTGTATAAATTGGGAAAATTTAAAGGTGGGCATGTAAAAATGATTAATAGTTGTATGAGTAAAATGTGACATTTTTGTTATAATGGGGATATTCTGTGCATGTAAATATGTTCTTTTTTTATTTAACACAATAAAATTATTTAACTTAATTATCTTGGTTTTTTTTACCTGTCTGATGAACACAATAAAGGTTAGAGAGGTAATTAGTTGAAATACAGGTCTACGAGTGTCAAAATTCTCTGTTGATAACCAGACTACATTCGGCATTGTCGATTTGCCATTCATGATCTTTAACAGGGGGGACTATACTCCTGAAATCAGAGAAACTGTTGTTAAAAAGAGAGTTAAAGGTGTTACTCTTTAGGTCTCACACAAGGATTTAATATCGCAATTTGTTACTATGTAGCTTTAATAAAGTTCATTGATGAACTAGATTCTGATCAGCAATAAATCATAATAAAAGAAAATAAAGATTAATATTCAAAGATAAAATTTGAGATCAAAAAAATAAAAATAAGACAATAATGGACAGTAAAACATACCTTTACCAAAATAGATGTGAGTTTGAAACATGTTGATAAATGGACTACACACCATCTAGAAAGTTGCATCATGCACACCTAAAAATATAGGTAATCAAAGATTACGAATCTCACTACGACAAATATAATCAGTCTAAGTAATGCAAATCTCAGATCATATTTTCTTAAGAGATAGTATTTTTTCTGACAACAATATTCAAGCAAGTTCTGCTTAAATAGGTCTTAAAGTTCATTGGGATTGATCTGTTCCGAAAACTTTAATCTGATCACTCGTTTGGAAAATATAGGTCAGATCCAGCATCCGAATCAAGTTTTGATTGTTCATCCTTAGATGCATCATCCATGCAAGTTTGGTCTAGGTAAGGCTTATAGTTACTTGGAAATAATCTAGTCACTAATCTGGAAAATGTAGGTCACATCCAGCATCCCAGGCAAGTATGGTAGTGTCCATTCCTAGATGCATCATCCATGCAAGTTTGGTACAGGTAGGGCTTATAGTTACTTGTGAATGGACTTGCTCCAAAACCTGTAACCTGGTCACTCATCTGAAAAATGGTCATATCCAGCATCCGAAGCAAGTTTGGTAGTGTCCATCCCTAGATGCATCAACCATGCAAGTTTGGTCCAGGTGGGGCTTATAGTTACTTGGGAATAGACCTGCTCCTAAACTTAAACCGGGACGCCGAAGCTATCGCTGGGGATATAGCATAAGCTCATCTTGACTTCATCAAGGTGAGCTAAAAATTAAGAGTTCCTTTTAACTCAGTGGAATAATTCTGCTAAAGTTGTGATATTCCTAAAATACAAGTCCAAAATTAATATTGTAGGCCTAAAACAATTAAAGATGCCGAAAATAAAAAAAAAATAAAAATTTGTCTCTCTCTTCCAGACAATAATTAATTCATTATTTAGGCTAGTTCATTTTGATTGGCTATTTTCTTGCATAATTAAGGCCTTTAAATGGCCTCAAAGAATTTTCTCTACCTCTTAATTATCTCCCCATGGAAGAGGTTTATTTCCCTTTTCACCTTAATTTCCCTTTTCCAAAGGATGCTTATTCATAGATGTGGCAAATTTTGTTGAATTTTGCCCAATGGTTCTGTAAAAGATGAAAAATTAATTTAATTAATTTTTTTTAAACAATAACAATGCTAACAATGTTTGAGATACTAGTATTAATATGCAAAAAATGACACACACTGATGGCCAAAATTTTGTAAGAACATGTATTCAAAAATACTTTATGGTTGCAAATTTTTCATTCACATATTTACTTACAAAAATTTGCAGTGAAATATTATGTGCTCATATATTAATGGCCAAACAAAGGGCAACCAGCTGAAAATCTAGCTAATACACTGTAATTCATTGTAACATTATATTTTTTATTTTTTCATTTTATTTTTTTTTCTATTTTGCATTAAAAAAATATATTGCAATTATGTGTTATGTCCTCTGGCATTGTTGAAAAAAAACCATCATACAAAAGTTTAATAGATTAAAATTTGAAATGCATTTTGAAAATAAATTTGGGTCATCAGTAATGAAGTGCTTTGACAGACAATAAATTACAATTAAATCCATAATAAGAAGAGAGATTAATTGCATCTTGTGCCTTATTACCTGTCTGATTAGATAGCAACACAGGTATGCCTTAACAACTTCCATGGACCAAACTCATTAAATCTTTAACTGGATGCATGGTCCGTCATTATTCCCAAGAGACAAATGACAATTACATTATCTTCTGGCAATGTAAGCATAACTGTTTTTAACACTTGATGAGTTTCTAAAAATTAAGAGTTCTTTTTAACTCAGTATTTTTGAATGATATTGCTAAAGTTGTGATATTCCAAAATACATGAGCCCAAAATGAAAAGTCAATAAAATAAGACCTAAAACAATTTAAAATGCAAAAAAATTAACAAAAAATCACCATAAAATTGTCTCTCTCTATATAGACAATAATTCATTATATAGGCTAGTTGATTTTGATTGGCTATTTTCTTGCACAAGATCTTCAAATAGCCTCAAAGAATTTTCTCTACCTTTTAATTATCTCCCCATGGAAGAGTTGATTCCCCTTTTTCACCTTGATTGCCCTTTTCCAAAGGATGCGTTAATTCATAGATGTGGCAAATTTTGTTGAATTTTGCCCAATGGTTCTGTAAAAGATGAAAAATTAATTATGTTAATTTTTCTTAAAAATAATAACAATGCTAACAATTTTTGATCAGGAGAGCTCACTAGAGTGTCTGGATTAAGTGATCATGCAAAAAATGACACACACTGCTCAATGGCCAAAATTTGATTGATTGTATTATTGTACATGTATATTGTTTACCTCACTGTTGAGAATTTTTCATTCAAATAGAGACACCAACACTTGCTGGTGGAGAGCTGCAAATTTTGTCCTATATATTGGCACTCAGGGCCATTTAGCAGGAAGGGATCTTTTTTGATCTTTTTTGTGCCAGTACATACTGTAACACGGAATCTCTGTTTATACAGTCTTATCAGAAGGACCGATCCCACAGTGGGATTCAAACCCACAACGTATTAGGATCAACTCCTTACTTTGCGACTTTAGCGCAGCTATAGATGCTCTAACCACTGCGACATTTGGGTGACCCAAGATTTAATTTTCAATACTCATAGCTAAAAAATTTAAATAAATTATAAATTTAAAACATAGATGCACTTCATACCTGAAAATCAATTTGGTCTCTTTGAAGGTTTCCTAAGTACTGTAGCTGCAATCATCAGTTCAAACTTCTAATCCTTCAACATCCATTTAATAATCTACAGGAATTCATTGCAGTTTCAGTAGCAGATATTTACCTATAAATTAAGGTCAATTCCTTTAGAATCCAATTTAATAACTTTGCTGAGAATCATTTAACCTATTTAATTAAGAGAAATATGTACAATTCTGACCATAATCACCCTGTATCCTGACTAGACAAATCACAAAGCCAGTTCAAAGGAATGTCTCACAGGCTAGAATCACCAATGTAAATCTGTCACCTTAATCTTTATCCAACAGATCAAAGCATTATGTCCAGATAAGATTATCACCACTAAAATGTTACTCACCCATTATTTGAATGTTCATCAAAACAGGTCAAAGCACTGTCCAGCTAAGAATCACCACTGAAATATCGCATGCATCTCTTGAATGTTTACCCAGTCAGATGAAAGCATTGTCCAGCTAAGAATCACCACTGAAATGTCACATCCATCACTTGAATGTTTATCCAATCAGATCAAAGCATTGTCCAACTAGAATCACCACGGAAATTTCATATCCATCACTTGAATGTTTATCCAATCAGATCAAAGCATTGTCCAACTAGAATCACCACGGAAATTTCATATCCATCACTTGAATGTTTATCCAATCAGATCAAATCCTTGTCCAACTAGAATCACCATGGAAATTTCATATCCATCACTTGAATGTTTATCCAATCAGATCAAAGCATTGTCCAACTAGAATCACCATGGAAATTTCATATCCATCACTTGAATGTTTATCCAATCAAATCAAAGCATTGTCCAGCTAAGAATCACCACGGAAATATCACATGCATCTCTTGAATGTTAATCCAATCAGGGCAAAGCACCGTCAAGCTTAAAATCACCACTGAAATGAAAAGTGGAAAGTCTGAAAATTGGCCACATCCAAAGAAAGTAGAAATGTCTCCCAGCAAATTTTCATGTACACTCCAAAAACCAACAAATGAGCACAGAACCTTACTGCTATATAGCTATTATATGTGTCACACTGCAGTCCATTGGTCCGGGCCATGCAAAGCAGTGGGGATTCTAAGGATATCCTGGGAGAGAAAGAAGGTCTGAATTAGTTTATGAAGATTTTGTCTCACTTAAACAAAATGGCAATTGCATGAAATTAAAGTGTACATTGAAAAAAATTGGTGATCTATGTAGTCAGAGTAAATAAAAGAAATTACATGTAAGTATGTTACCTAGTCCAGGACATGACGACTACACTGCAACCTTTCCTCCACCAGAGACCATCATTAGAGATGAAGAGGTGGACTGCAAAGAGAATTGTAAAGCTGCTGGTAACTAAGTGAAGGCTGTCCTATAGGCTTTAGCCATTTCACCAGTGATGGAGATAGTGCCATTACATCCAGAGCATCTGAAAGACATTAGAACATGTTCATTATGAAAATTCCAAAGACTTGAATTGTTTCTTTTGCTAAAAAAAATGAAGATTGAAGAAGGACTGTTAATTAAGATCCATTCAACAGTCTTATTTTGTTTCAGAAGAACCAACATATAAGCCATAGGATAATTAATGCACATTATTTGACTTCCACCCAAAACTTTTGTGCAAAACACTGTGTATGAAAATTGCTTCTGACATTTCATTAAAACCTTATATTTGATGGAGCGTACATGGTTTGTTGCTGTCGGCTCCATTGTCTTTGATGGAAAGCGTACTAGGTTTGTTGCTCCCAGTAGGTGCTAGGGCTTTCATGCTTATTATGTGTATTATTTTGAACTTCAACAGGTATTAACCTTGACCCTAGAGTTTGACCCACTTAAAAAAAACTTTAACCTTGGCAATTAACTTTTGAACAGGAAGTACCAGGGATTTCTTATTTCACATGAGATTCCTTGAGATGACTTTGATACCAACAATTTTAACCCTTTGAACTTTAAGTTTGCCAACATTTGAGAAACTTACCTTCGTCATAAGCTGTGATACAATCAGTGTTAAACAAACACATGTCTTCATTATTTTTAAGTGGCGGTGTCTCCATATGAGGGAAAAAATTCCAGAGAGAGGTTTTCACAAAAACAAACAAATTACTAAAAATAACATAAAACATGAGCATGTTGGTTGTATCTCTTGTTTTCCCTTGAATCAGAACTGATTAAATATTTTAAAAACAATAATTATAAGATTTGAAAAGGTTGTGCATCTTAAAATTGACTGAGTTCTGCAGTTGAATTAGCTATAAATGTTTACTACCTTTATTTTGCTACTCAAAACACCTTGATTAATTATTTTCAATCATACTGTTTTCTGAAATGTTCAATTTTTTTTCAATAATCATGGATACATACTGCACATCATACATTTTGACTTCTCCAAAAATTGCATGAAAAAAAAAGGCTTTTCAAATACTGTAACCATAGTAACCCTTTAAAATACTTGTGAATCCTACATTTTTAGCTCATTTGAGCTTTTCTGGTTTCCTTATCACATTATGTCTGTCGTCCATCTGTTTGTCTGGAAAATTTCTACATTTTTAACTTCTCTACAACCACTGGGCCAATTTTAAGAAAAGATGATTAGGCTGCAAATTCACAAAGAAATATGTACATCTGTATGTCAGTCTGTCAATTTAACCATCTCATCAAAGTCATTATCTAGTAAAAGTGAAGAGACAAGGCTTTTTGTATTAAATATATACATGTATTAGTATTTACGGGGCTATAACAAAATTACTGACATTTTTTTTACCCATGACCTCTGAAGATGATTAGGCTACTTGAAAAAAATGTAGAAGGAGAGTTCAGGGAATTTCGGAGCTTTTTAAAAATTCATCATTTTTGTAGAATTCATATTATCCCCCGGGGCAAAAAGAAACCTTACTGTATGACATTATTACCTATCAAAAGATGATTTGCTAAAATAAATCATGACTCGGTGACCTTGACTGAAACTTAACCTACTTTTCAAAAATGTTGCATTTGCATAACTTTTGATCTTCAGAAGAGATATGACTTTAACATTTGACATGTACATTACTCAAGAATTGAAGATTTTCCCAGGATGCTATGATTTTTTAACGGGGCAAAATCAAAATCCAAAACCTTACTGCACATCTACATGACACCACCAACCATCTCCCAGAAGATGATTACCTAATTTTATAAACTCTCCTAAAAGATGATGAGGCTACTGATTTGATCCCCTGGGGCAAAATGAAAATGCCAAAACCTTACTGCACATCTACATGACACCACCAACCATCTCCCAAAAGATGATTAGGCTGCTGAGTAAAATGTAGAAGGAGTTCAGGGAAGAAGGGGCTTTTAGCATAAAAAACCTCATTTTTCGATCCCCATTTGACCCCCGGGGCAAAATGAAAATACCAAAACCTTACTGCACATCTACATGACACCACCAACCATCTCCCAGAAGATGATTAGGCTGCTGAGTAAAATGTAGAAGGAGTTAAGGGAAGAAGGGGCTTTTAGCATAAAAAACCTCATTTTCCGACCCCCATTTGACCCCCCGGGGCAAAATCAAAATTCCGAAACCTTACTGCACATCTACATGACACCACCAACCATCTCCCAAAAGATGATTAGGCTGCTGAGTAAAATGTAGAAGAGAGTTCAGGGAAGAAGGGGCTTTTAGCATAAAAAACGTCATTTTTCGACCCCCATTTGTCGCCCCGGGGCAAGATCAAGATCCCGAAACCTTACTGCACATCTACATGACACCACCAACCATCTCCCAGAAGATGATTAGGGCAAAATCAGGGAAGACGGAGTTTTTAGCATAAAAAAACATCAAATCCCCCGGGGCAAAATGAAAATTCCGAAACCTTACTGCACATCTACATGACACCACCAACCATCTCCCAAAAGATGATTAGGCTGCTGAGTAAAATAAATAAGGAGTTCAGGGAAGATGGGGCTTTTAGCATAAAAATCGTCATTTTCCGATCCCCATTTGACCCCCCGGGGCAAAATCAAAATTCGGAAACCTTACTGCACATCTACATGACACCACCAACCATCTCTCAAAAGATGATTAGGCTGCTGAGTAAAATGTAGAAGGAGAGTTCAGGGAAGAAGGGGCTTTTTGCATAAAAAACGTCATTTTTCGACCCCCATTTGATCCCCCGGGGCAAAATCAAAATTCCGAAACCTTACTGCACATCTACATGACACCACCAACCATCTCCCAGAAGATGATTAGGCTGCTGAATAAAATGTAGAAGGAGTTCAGGGAAGACGGAGCTTTTAGCATAAAAAACATCATTTTTCGACCCCCATTTGATCCCCTAGGGCAAAATGAAAATTCCGAAACCTTACTGCACATCTACATGACACCCCCAACCATCTCCCAAAAGATGATTAGGCTACTGTGAAAAATGTAGGAGGAGCTAGGGAAGAAAAGTGTGACAGATGGACGGAGGGACGGACAGACAGATGGACATGAGTAACAACAATATACCCGAACTTTCTTTAGAAAGTGTGGGTATAATCACTAATCATGGCTTTGAAGTACTTGAAAAGAAGATTTTAAAAGGTTTCCCTATATAAAACTTTTAACGGCCATTTTGGCCCCACCCTAGCCCCGGGGGTCATGCTTTGAACAAACTTGAATCTACACTATCTCAGAGGATGATTCCACATGAGTTTCATCTTTCCAGGCCCAGTGGTTCTTGAGAAGAAAATTTTTAAAGAGTTTTTTACTATATATTCCTATGTAAAACTTTTAAAGGCCATTATGGCCCCACCCTATCCTGGGGGTCATGATTTGAACAAACTTGAATCTACACTACTTGAGGATAATTTCACACGAGTTTCATCTTTCCTGATGCAGTGGTTCTTGAGAAAAAGATTTTTAAAGAGTTTTCCTTTATACTCGTCAGTAAAACTTTGATCGGCCATTTTGGCCCCACCCAACCCCCAGGGGTCATGATTTGAACAAACTTGAATCTACACAACCTGAGATTGATTCCACATGAGTTTCATCTTTCCTGGCCTATCGGTTCTTGGGAAGAAGATTTTTTAAAAATGCCATTAATTTTTCTCTAATTCATAATTATCTCCACTTGGAAGAGGGGGTTGCTCTTCATTTGAACAAACTTGAATCCCCTTTACCCAAGGATACTTTGTAGCAAGTTTGGTTGAAATTGGCCCAGTGGTTCTGGAGTCTCAAGAAGATGAAAATGTGGAAAGTTTACAACAACAACGCCGCCGCCGATGATGACGACGACAGACAACGGACAAATTTTGATCAGAAAAGCTCACTTGAGCCTTTGGCTCAGGTGATTTAAAACAAGAG